GCATCAAAACTTGGCTAAAAATCTTACATTCAAGTTTTCTAGAAATAGTCAATACAACCAATCACTTTCATGTTAGCTAAGCATTGACATCAACGTTGAGCATTTTGTTTTTTAGAGCTTGTTTGGATGGGTTTGTTTTAAGTGACTTTTAAGCCAAAATAATTTTTAAGCCATAAGTTAGGAATTCTAACTTTTTGCTTTTGGCTTGTTTTTGTCATTTTAGCTTAAAAACAAGTGCTTAAAAATACTTTTTTACTTTATCCAAACACTACAAAATGGCTTAAAAGCTATTTTGGTTTAAAAACACTTAAAACAAGCCAATCCAAACGGACTCTTAGTAATACTAGAAGTTTACTCCAAATTGTCAATATACAGTATAACACAGCTTCCCATGCTATTACGTTTGTCCTCACCTCTCGCTTTTTTTCCTAATAAAACCAGCCAATTCCACTACTCCACAAAAGCCCATCTCTGATTTCTCATCCTTTTTTCACTCTATAGAAAAGAATTTTTTTACACAAATAGCCGATCATCACACAAATTTACATGGATACACAAGTAACAGAATGTGGTAACACTAGTATGAAGGTACTGATGTTTCCATGGTTAGCATATGGACATATCTCTCCATTTCTCAACGTAGCCAAGAAACTCGCGGACAAGGGATTCTTGATTTATCTCTGTTCAACACCTATCAATCTTAAATCTATAGTCAAGAAAATACCCGAAAAATACTTTGTTTCAATACAGCTTGTTGAGTATCATTTACCCGAATCTCCTGAACTTCCTCCTCATTACCATACTACCAATGGACTCCCACCCCATCTCAATCACACCCTTCAAAAGGCCTTGAAATTGTCCAAACCAAACTTCTCCAAAATCTTGAAAAATCTGAAACCTGATGTGGTAGTTTATGATATTTTACAGCAATGGGCTGAAGGCGTAGCGAATGAACAAAACATTCCTGCAGTCAAGCTCTTAACTTCTGGTGCAGCTGTGTTTTCATATTTTTTTAACTTAGTAAAGAAACCTGAGATTGAATTCCCTTTCCCAGCCTATTTATCTTAGGAAAATTGAGTTAGTAAAATTGGGTGAAATGATGGCAAAATCAGCTAAAGAAAAGAACCTGATGATGTGGGTCCTTTTACTGAAGGAAATATGCAAATTATGTTAATGAGTACCTCTAGAATTATAGAGGCAAAATACATAGATTATTTTCTGAATTGAGTCAATTGGAAAGTTATTCCAGTTGGTCCACCAGT